GCTACATCTGCCAGAGAGATAACGGGAGAAAACTAGAAATGTGACAGTAAGGAAGCCGGGGGCAGGGGTGTTTCAAGAGGAAGAATATGGTCAGTAATGTAAAATGCTGATGAGTGGTCACATGAGATAAAGCCCTGGAAAGCCCTGTTTGATTTTTCTCTAAGGAAATCACTGAAACCTTTGGAAAGAACAGCTTTGGTGCAGTACAGGACAGAAGCCAAATGAGAGAGGGAAGAAAGTTGAGGAATGAGTGGGAGCTGGAAGAGAAGTCGTAAGGAGAGAGCTTTTTCAAGACGTTTAGTTATGAAGTAGGAGAAAGTTGGAGGATGCTAGGGGCAGGGAGAGATGGAAAAAACTTGACTGTGTTTAAAGTCTGATGAGAAGAAACAAATTGAGAGTGAGGCTGAAGATAAGAGAAAAAATTAGGAATAAATAGATGAAATTTCTGATCAAGAAGAGATGGGTTAGCCAGGCATGAAGGCACACACTTGTGATCCCAGCACTCTGGGAGGCTGAGGCAAGAGGGTCACAAGTTTAAGCCCAGTGTGGACAATTTACCAGTTTAGGGATATCCTGCTTCAAAAGAAAAAAGGCTGAGAGTGTAGCTCAGTGCAAAGACCCTGAGTTCAATCCCCAGTACTGAAAAAAGAAAAGAAAAAGAAAGAGGAGAGGGGGAGGGGACTGTGGCACAGAGGAGGGGTTAGTTTTGTATCAAGTGGTTCTAATGCAGGAAATCAGGGACACTTTCTTCTCACTCAGATTCTTGAGAATCTTAGCTATTTCTACTTCTTTCTTCTATTTTCTCCTCTTGTATCTGTCACTGCTTTATCTCACTACTTTAAGAGTTTCCATTTTATAAGAATTTCTTTGGTAAAGGTGACTACCTATCTCCAAGTTGCCAAATCTGGTGGATGCTGACGTCTTTGCTTTCCATGATCTCTGCCGCACTTGTTAAAATTCCACCTCTAGCCTTCCTATACCCTAAATTCACCTTTTATATTAGAGTTTCCCAGGGTCCTTACCTCAGTTCCCTTTTTAGTTATTATTTTTTTATACAATCATATCCATCCCCACAATTTTGCTACCACTTACTATCCTTGTTCATTCATATTCATACTACAGTAGACCCTTGACTTACGAACTCAACTGGTTCCTGAGGGCTGGTTGTAACTCAAGTTGGTTGTAAGTCAGAATAGCTGAGATCTGGATGTTTACCTGGATACATGTTATAGATAACAAGAGGCAGATGACTCTTCCATTAACCTAATTAACCCAAATTGTTCATGTATCAGGCAGTCATAACTTGAGGGTCCACTGTATTCTTTTTGTTTATTTTTTGTTTTTTGAGCCAGGGTCTCCCTTTGTAGTTCTGGCTGATGCTAAACTCACTATGTAGCCCAGGCTGACCTCAAACTCTTGGTGATCCTCCTGCCTCGGCCTCCCAAGTGCTGGGATTACAGGCGTGCGGCACCACACCCAGTGAGGGTCCACTGTATTCTCCCTTTCCCTGTACCTACCCACATGTATCTCACCCAGGCCTCTTTAAATTTATTTGCCTCCAAGACAGTTCTTTTACTTTCTTTGTTACCTTTTTTTTTTTTTTTTTTGTACTGAGGATCAAACTCTGGTCCTTGTGCTTGTGAGGCAGGGTAGTGGAACCACTGAGCCAAATCCCTGGCTCTATTTCACTTTCTTATGGGTACTTCACATTTAGAATATATAAAATGGATCTATCATTCCCAGGTACTTGTCTTATTCTCTCCTTGGTTGAGACAACAACATTATCTAGTTTCCCAAGTTATTCCAGGCTTTATTGGCCACCACAGAGTCAAGATCAATATCTCAGCATAACTGTGTAGCCCATTTGTGTTACATGCCATGATGTACCAGTTAAGAAACTTGATCTAGACTTTGTAATTTACTGGTATATAGTTTATATCCAGAAAATCTTAGAGAAGTAGTATAGCTCCTGTATTTGGTATGAAAAAGCAAAACAGTAGGTGATTGATTTCATCTTAACTAACCCAGGTTTAGCTGCCCTACTGCTTCTGTATATAAAGACAGCAGAGAAAGGGCAGATGGATAAATTCCTTTCAGTGTGAGCCGTTAGACTCACATCCTACAGTAGCAAGTGGGATGTAGTAGCATTCACAGAGCACTAAATCCCCACTTATTCAGACCTTCCAGCAAAGGTAGGTCTTCTCTGATCAATTGTTTTAAAACGTAGGCAGTAGATTGATCCTACCAAGGACAGAAAATCACAAGTTACGTTTGTTTCACAATGTCATTCAAGCACAATAGTTTTTTTGTTTGGGGGGGGTTGTTTTGGTTTTTGGTTTTTGGTTTTTGTTTTGTTTTTTGAGACAGAGTCTCGCTCTGTAGTTGAGACTGACCTGGAACTCGCTGTGTAGTCCAGGTTGGTCTCGAACTCAGCAATCCTCCTGCCTCAGCCTCCAAGTGCTGGGATTACAGGCGTGCGCCACCACGCCCGGCAGCACAATAGTTTTCAAGCTTTGGTCTTAGAATATTTTATAATCATTTTAGAAATTAAAATGAGAAAAATTAATGTATATCGATTCATTTTAAAATAATGAACTAACTACATGGTAATGAAACATTTTATGAAATAAAAGTTATTTTATGGAAAATAACAATTTTCCTAAATAAAAAAAATTATTTTCCTAAATAAAAAAGTAAGAAGAGAGATTATTTTACAGCTTTGTAAATCTCTGATACCTAGCAGCCATAGTCTCATGTCGGTTCAGTATTCAGTCTGTTACACTGTATCATATAACCTATGGTAAATTCCATGGTACACTTATGAAAGAATGAGCGAAAAGAATTCTTATAGCTGGGGATTTTGCTCAGTGGTTCCGCTACCTACCCTTGCATGCACAAGGTCCCGAGTTTGATTCCTGGTACCAAAAAAAAAAGGACCGGGGATTTAGCTCAGCGGTTCAGCAGCCCGAGTTCAATCCCCGGTACCAAAAAAAAAGAATTCTTATAAATTATGGCATTATTAGCAAGGTAATTTTAATAGTTTTGACTTTGTATATCTTCTGAAAGGGGCCCTGGGACCTAAAGGGTCTCCAGACTATATTTCTAAAAAGGCAGATCCAGTAAAAGTATAAATGGCAGGCTGTTTTCTGGTGTTTGAGCAAGCTAGATATTTGCTTTATAGGTTTTACCAGATGCCAGTGTTTTGTGTGATGTAGAATGAATTCTTTCTCAAAAAATCTAATTTCAGGGCCTGGGATTTAGCTCAATGGCACTGTGCCTACCTTACAAGCGCAAGGTCCTGAGTTTGATCCTGGTACCAAAAAAAATCTAATTTCAAATTTCATTTTATTAAGGTAATTCATTAAATGTATAACTAAATCTGTGTACTGTGATTTTTATCAGAAATAAAAGCTCTTGGGCAGTGGGGAAAAAATAGGAACCAATATACATCATGTAAAGGTACAAGATCCCAATGATGAATGAAACTGTATGGTGCACCTAAAATGTACCAATAAATTTAATGGGAAAAAGAAGTTCTTGGGGTGGAGATGTAGTTCAGTGGTGCTTTGCCTGCCTGGTAAGTGCAAGGCCCTGAGTTCAATTGGTCCTTGGTACGGGGGGTGGGGGGAAGAAAATAAAAGAAATAAAAGTTCTTTTCCAGTCACATATCCTTAGAAAATATAAAGTTTCAGTTATTGGACAAAACAGATGCTCGGGGGGGCCAGGGATTTAGCTCAGTGGCACCACGCCTGCCTTGAAAGCACTAGGTCCTGAGTTCAATCCCTGGTATCAAAGACAAACAAAAAACAAAATAGATGCTCAGTAAGTATTTGTCAAATAAATAAATTTTTAGAGTCTTAAAACTAGAAATAGCTAGGTATGGTGGCGCATAAATGTAATTCCAGCATTTGGGAGCCTAAGGCAGGAGGATCACCTTGAGTTTGAGGCCAGCCTGGTGTACATAGTTAAAGGCCAGCCTGAACTACCTAGTTGAGACCTTGTCTCAAAGAAACACAAACAAAACAAAAAAGCATTAGCACTCAAAATTATTCATTTATTCAGTTACTAGGACTGTTAGCATCTCTACATTTTTTTTAAAATTTATTTTTGGGTTTTTTTGAGACAGGGTCTCGCTATGTAGTTGAAACTGACCTGGAACTCACTAGGTAGCCCAGGTTGGTCTTGAACTCACAGCGATCCTCCTGCCTCAGCCTTGCAAGTACTGGAATTACAGGCACGTGCCAGCATCTCTACTTTGAGATCTTTCTTGAAGAACCAAGGAATAGTTCCTCAATTTTCAAAGATTGCAAAGTTATAAATTAATTACCCCCAGTGATAACACCAGAAAATCTCAGATATAGGGGGAAAAAAATCTTAGAACTATCATTTCATAAGCCCATTCATTTAAATGGTAAAATGGAAACTCAAGAGATTAAATGACTTAACCAAATTTATCTGACTAGAATTGAGGTCACCCTTCCTAACCTCCTGCTTTCTTTATTTAGGACTCCTAAAAATATAATTATTTTCATAATCTTTTGGTTAAGCAAGAAGATGGCATATATCTATCTGTGTTTGGGAACAGTGAGGTCTTTAAGTTCTGATGAACCATAAATTGAGTAGCAAGAATGTTGATATTATCTTGATACTACAGGTTAAAAATAAAAACCGGAGGTTTGTACAGATCAAATAACTTGCCCAAGTTCACATATGCAGTAAATGGTAGGATAGTGATTTGATCTATGTATTATCTTTTTTTTTTTTTTTTTTTTTTTTTTTGTACCTGGGATCAAACTCAGGACCCTGGCCCTCTTCCAGCATTTCTTAAACCAGTCACTTTTCAAGTGAATCAATGAAAAAAATCCAGAACCAAATAAAAGATTTGTGCCTCCCAGATTAGTGTTTCACCCTTTTTCTCTCATTTGTCTACTAATCGAGATTGCTTCTTCATGTTTAGCAAATCATATTTAGAATTGACCTTTAGGTTTTCTCTATTACAGATTTATTGCCAAACCCTGTGCACTCCGTGTTGGCATTGAGGACAGTGGTCCTTATCAGGCCCAACCCAATACCATCCTTGAAAAGGTTTTCATATCTATCACCAAGGTAAGTGAACAAAAGAACAAGAAAACTCACATGATGTATTGCTCTATGTGGTGGGGAAAAATAGAGTGCATATAAAAGAAGGTTAAGGATAGGATGGGATGATCTTACACAACTATAAGGAAAACTTTAGCCTCTCAGGGAAGTACTTTTGGGTGAGGGTCCTAAAAATTCAAGGTTTTTTTTCCTTGCTCTCTCTTCTGACTTTGCAGAGTTGCAAAATTAAAATAGGGATGGAGGGCCAGGGATTTAGCTCAGTGGTTCCACCGCCTTGACTTGAAAGTGCAAGGACCTGAGTTCAATCCCCGGTACCAAAAAATAAATAAATAAAATAAAATAGGGATGGTAATGGTAGCCTTTGTAGTTTGGGTTTTTGTTATCCTTTTTACTCAGCTTGAACTGGAGGGAGAAAACCAAGTGAGAATGTGTATGGGTGAACAGTAAAGGTCATTGGCATAGGAGGTGAAATGTGTAAAATGATTTGGGGATGAAACCTGAAAAGATATAGGGCCAGGGATTTAGCTCAGTGGTTCCAGCACCTGCCTCGCAAGTACAAGGACCTGAATTCAATCCCCAGTACCAAAACAAAAGAAAAAAGAAACCTGAAAAGATAAATATCATTTGATCTGCTGTGGCTATTGTCCTTTGCCACTCAGCTAGTAAAGGAGATTTAAAGAGCGATTTGAAGAGAAAAGGGTGTTCTGACTCTAGTCATGCATCTACAGTATCCTGATCAGAAAAGGCTGGAGGGCCTGTCAAAGCAGCTGGACTGGGATGTCCGAAAAATCCAATGCTGGTTTCGTCATCGGAGGAATCAAGACAAGCCTCCAACGCTCACTAAATTCTGTGAAAGCATGTAGGTGTGCAAGGGAGGGAGGGAAGGAGTAAGGAAGTGGGTGGGTGGGGATACAAATGAACTGAAGTTCCCTTTTTGGAAATTATGTATATTATTAGGGTAACAGTTGGTGGGTATAGAACACTAACTCAATCTATTGTAAGTAGGAAAGAAGAGAACCAGAAAGCTAGTTACTTGTAGTTGCTTGAACATACCTTCCACCAAGCTAGCTGTGACTCCATTTTTGCTTCTTTTTCCAAATAGATTGGGAATTAATTCCTGTAAATGTGCCTACATAGGTAGGAATGCATGAACCTGTACACCTTTTTTTTTTTTTTTTCGTTTTTTGAGACAAGGTCTCACTAGGTAGTTGAGACTGACCTGGAACTCACTGTGTAGTCCAGGCTGGTCTCGAACTCACAGTGATCCTCCTGCCTTAGCCTCCCGAGTGCTGGGATTACAGGCATGTGCCACCATGCCTGGCCTCCCTGTACACTTTAATAGAAATGGTACCAGCTTGTTCTAAATTGACATTTTTGTGGGAGCTATTCCTATTTGAGAAATACTGTTCTTGAATTCAAGGTTTTTGCTTTTAACTAATTGATTTTGGTCTTGTCTTTAACTAATTATCCCCTAGAAACAGAGTACTTTATTAGTTACTGTTGTGCAATGAAAAATATTAGGTACAGGGCCGGGGATTTAGCTCGGTGGTTCCGCCGCCTGCCTTGCAAGCACAAGGACCCCTGTTGGATCCCCGATACCAAAAAATATATATATATATTAGGCACTGTGATGAGGGGGTCGGGTATATAAGAAAAGTTAATTAAAGTCAGTGTATGCTTGTGGAAGTCTATTTTAAACAAAGGCTAGCTTTCTAGATAACAGTATTTGTCCCCATGGAATGTATTTCTCACCAGTAACTCTCTTCTCCACAAAGTGACTCTCTTGAATTCTCCATATTCAAAGACTTTATTATTTTTTAATCTCATTGAGTTTATTGGTACTTTTCAAGTATACAGTACAGTTACTGGGATCATCACTGGGATCTTGTACCTTTACATGACAGATCTTGGTTCTCATTTTTTCCCCATACCTCTGCCCTCCCTTCACCCCCTCTACCCTAGATTCAGAGACTTTAAATGGACATTTGTCTAACCTCTACCTTTTGCCTACCCAGGTGGAGATTCACTTTCTATTTATGTATATTCTGCTATGGAATTAGATTTCTCTGGTTGGTAAGTTTGAACTTTCCCTGGTCCTCTGATGGGGTTCTAATCATTCTTAGATTGAGACAAATATTTATTTTTCACAGATATTTTTTCTCTAATGGTACCCATAGTCCCAGTTTATATACTAATAGATTGTCCTCGCTCTTTACTTCACTAACCTTATGACCCTACTGTTTCTCCCTTAAATAGTATTAATAATAATAAAAATAAATCAGAATATTACTTAATGATTTACAAAGCACTTGACAAAAATTGTTTTTTCAAGAAGAAATAGAATTGATACCCCCACCCCTACTCCCGCTTTTTGAGACAGCGTCTCACTGTGTAGTTGAGACTGACCTGGAACTCACTATGTAGCCCAGGCTGGTCTTGAACTCACAGCGATCCTCCTGCCTCAGCCAATAACCCTGTAATTTGGGTGGAAGAGATACTATTTCTACTTTTAGCTAGTTGTCAGAGTCAAGGAAGAATTTGAATCTTTTTGATTCATTTTGTTTGTTTGGTTTTGGGGGCTGTGCTGAGACAGGGTCTCACTATATAGTTCAGGCTGGCCTTTTTCAGACTTACTTTGTGGTTTTTTTGTTGTTGTTTTTGTTTTTTTTCTTTTTATTGAGTTTATTGGTACAATCTAGGTATACAATACAGTTACATTCATCATTGGGATTCTGTACCTTTACATAATAGGTCTTGATTCTCATTTTTCCCCTTGTCCCTGCCCTCCCTTCATCCCCTCCTCCCCTCCCCATTTACAAACACTTTATTTCCATTTTTTCAGTTTCTCATATTTTTTTCCTCTCCCTTATTACCTTTCCCCCACCCTTCCCACTTTCCCTACTCCTTTAGCCCTTTACTTCCTATTTCACATTATTAATAATCTCATTAGGATCCTGTGTACTGCTATAGTTTTTCTAATCCTAAAGTAAAACTAAAAAGGAAAGTAAAAGAGAAAAGGCAATCATGTAAGATTAAAATAATCCTTAATTCTGAAGATGAAAATTGTCCCTTAACATATTTAAATTGCTTCTTGCTCCTGTAGTCTTATCTTATTCTTTTTTTTCATTATTTAGAGAATACTTTATTAGTTTCTGTAATCAAACCCATGTAGATATGACCTTACATATTTAGTACAGTGTATTACCCCTGTACAAATGGAAAAAAAATAAAATAATTAACATTTCTAGACCAATATGGCTGTCCATTTCTGTACAATGCCAACTCAACACAGTAAATTGGGATAACTTTTTCCAAAGTTGACAGCACCGTTAAAGTTTCCCAAAATTCAATTTATATATATATTTATATTTATATACTAAGACTGGTAGTAGCAGTGTGTTATGCATCAATAGCAGCAACAGCTTTTCCAGGTTCTGCAGTCATCTGAACAAAATTATAGACATTCAGCACATTCCATTAAAAAAAAAAACAAAGAAAAAAATAATATCCAGAAAACAGCAACGTTCTGTTGCTGCTGTGGTACCTGGCACCATTTTTTTTTTTTAGCATCTTAATCATCATCTGGAAAGAGAACATTCTAGAGTAATATCATTAACTATAGCTTTGATAAAGCATGGTCACTACTATGTATCATAAAGCAGGCACAAGATATTTTACATTCACAGAGGTATGATACAGTGCCGTCCTACATCAATAATACTAGAATCAGTTTTGGTTTGAAATTTGCTTTGTCTGCAAATAAGATTGCTACCCCTGCTTTTTTCTGGGCTCCTGTCACATGGAGAATTGTTTTCTATCCTTTCACTTTCAGTCTATAGGCTTCTTTTTGCACTAGGTGTGCTGTTTCTTGTATACAACATATTGTTGGATTTTGCTTCTTATTCCATTTTGTTCAGGCTTACTTTGTATCCCAGGCTGGCCTCGAACTCATGGCAATCCTCCATTCTCAGCTTCCCAAGTGCTGGGATTATAGGTGTGCACCATCACACCTGGCATCTTTTTGATCTTTTTGTTTTTGAGACATAGCCTCCCTATATAGTTCAGGTGGCTTTCAACTCACTGTGTACCGGCAGGCTGGCCTCAAACATCAATCCTCCTGCCACAGCCCCTCCAAGCACTGAGATTACAGGCATTTGCTCCCACAGCTGGCACTGATTCTTAATTATGTTTTTTTCTCTGTACCACACTATTTTTCCCTAAATGATATATTCAGTCTTCACAATAGACAAAGCACTGGGTGTTGTGCTTTCACTGCACAGCTTATAGACTTTATTGAAAGGATAATAAGACAATATTGTGAACAATTTAACAGTAATAAATTTAACAGCATAGGTGACATGAACAAACTCCTTAAAAGGATGTAATTGTAGAGATGATTACTTTTGAGCCTAGTACCTCTTCTTTTATCAGATGCAGTCATTGTATTCTTTCCCTATTCTTACATCCCAGATGGTAATGTTTCTAAAACTATCCAGGAGCTCTTCTTGTTCTTCTTTACTGCAATGCATGGTTTTCCTATTTCTAACAATGCTTGTAGAAGGAAAATCTAGCCATTTATTGATCCTTTGGGAATCCCTAAAATCTATCTTTATTTTTTCCTATATTTCTTTTGAGTATCCTAGAGAGAAGAGGATAGGTTATACAAGGTAGATCTTGAAGCAAGCTAGGTGAGAATCCTAAAGGCTAACCTGAATTATCTTTTTTTCTTAGTCTCCTTGGTTCTGGGACACCCGACAGTGCTGGTATAACTATCCACTTCAGGTAGGATCTGAGCCGTTTCAAGATGGCCTTCGTATGTGTGTAAGGTAGGGTAGGTGTGAGAGTGCGTTGTCAGTCCAAGACAGGTGGCACATTTTCTTGATGTTCTTGAGGGATTAGGGACTAAGTTCTTTGAATCATATATTCAGGATTTCTATTTCTGGAGCTTCTATAGCAGTAAAATCCATTGAACTTTTTGTTCTAGCTTCTCTCATATTTATCCTAATTGAGCCAGAAAGAAAATCCGTTTGCTAGTACTTAATGGGGTACTTTCTGGTTCAGGTGTCCTCTTTGTATCACGGGCTGCTTGGAATCCTCTTAAGAGCATCTTAGTTCTCTGTTCATTCTTCAGTACTGAATGGGGGGAAAGGCACTTTGGTTCTAATCTATACTAGAAAAATGTCAACATTAGGGGAATGCTAAAATGTTGGAAGAAGGGAAGGCCTCTGAAAAATACCAATTGGTCAGAATTCTAGGCACACTGATTTGATTGTGTTATATATGTGTCAAATCTCTAAAAGAAGAGAGCTAAAGCTGGGCATGGTGGCACATGCCTGTAATCCCAGCACTTGGGAGGCTAAGGCAGGAGGATCGCTGTGAGTTCCAGACCAGCCTGGGCTACATAGTAAGTTCCAGGTCAGTCTCAACTACATAGTGAGACCCTGTCTCAAAAAGCCAAAAAAAAAAAGAATTAAAGCTGGGCATGGTGGCGCACACCTGTAAATCCCAGCACTCGGGAGGCTGAGGCAGGAGGATCATTGTGAGTTCGAGACCAGCCTGGGCTATGTAGTGACTTCCAGGTCAGTTTCAACTACATAGTGAGACCCTGCCTCAAAAAAAACTAAAAAAAAAGGAGGGTTAAAGATGTATAGGGGGGCAGAAAGAAGAGGTTTAAGTCTCCACACCAATCCAAAGTCTCTTTTAGTTATTGCAGATTTTAGACGATAGGGAAGAACGATGTCAATAATTTGACAGTCACCCTCCCAGACAGAGAGAGTTGCAGAGATGAAATGCATCTTTGAGAGTTGGTATTCTAACTACTACTTTCCTCTCTTCCAGCCTCTCTCAGGAGGGCTTTATTACTATTATATCATGGAACTGGCCTTCTACTGGTCTCTTATGTTTTCTCAATTTACAGACATTAAAAGAAAGGTAAGGACTTTGGTTTCCTCAACTCCTTTCTAGCACCATTACTGCCAATGTAATGGATTATTTTCCCTGACTGGAACCACAAAAGCAGAAGAAAGTATGTGTGTTGGAACTATTAATTCTTTTCTTTCCAAGAAATTAGACTTAACTAATGATAAAGTGTATTTAAGAGGTTCACAACAGCACAGGATGAGAACAATTAGCTAAGAATACTTACTCTTTTATTCTTCTCACATGTCTGAAACTCAGGAAATTAATCGGAACTTGAAGATATCAATACCTGATTTGGAAAAGGTCATGATTGCAGAAAAGTTAGATTTTTAAGTTATTATTATTGTTTTTCTTTGTGTTTTGTTTTGTTTTTTCCCCTCCCCTCCACTTCCCTTCTCCCCTCACCTTCTCTCTAATCTCCCTTTTTGGTTACTCTACGTACTTAAAGAATATCAGCTGGAAGGAGTTTTAGACAATTTATTTTCTTCCTGCTATTGTTCAGAAACAATGATTCAGAAAACCAAGTTGAGGGGCCAAAGATTTAGCTCAGTGGTTCTGTTGCCTGCCTCACAAGCACAAGGTCCCGAGTTCGATCTCTGGTACCAAAAAGAAAAAAGAAAAAGAAAAGAAAAAAAGTTGACATGCCCACATATTAATAGAGTTGGAAATTATTTGAGTTTATATAACCAGACAGAACCACTTTTTCATTGGTGTTTACCTGATGTGAGGTAGTTCCAGTAGCTCTAACCCTAGAGCATGTATTTTTGGAAAACTAGGGTTAGCATTATGGAAATGGGTTGAAAGTAATCTAGGTTGTTAGTATTGTATAACATAGAAACTTGATACTCCAATTCTGATTTTTCACTCTCTTATTGTCAGAAGACACAGATCCCCTTATTAAAATTTTTATTTTAATATATGACATTAAAAGTTTGATATATTTAGAAGTCAGGCATGGTAGTGCAATGCCTGTGATCCCAGCACTCAGAAGGCTGAGGCAGGAAGATCACTGCAAATTCAAGGCCAGCCGTGGCTACAGTGAGCTCAAGGCCATCTTGAACTATGTAGCGAGACCCTGTCTAAAGAAAAATAGATAATACTTATAAACCAATCACCTACTCAAGAACTAGAACATTAGCAGGAGTGGTGGTATGTACCTGTAATCCTAGCACCTTGTGAGGCTGAGGCAAGAGGAACACAAGTTCAAGCAAGTCTGGGCAGCCTGGCAAGACAATCTCAGAATAAAAATAGGCTGGCATGTTACTCTGTGCTAAGGCTCTGGGTTCAATCCTCAGTACCAAAATAAAAAAATAAAAAAACTAGAATAAAAAAAACCCTAGAATATCATTAATATCATTGTATCTGTATAGAGAGCATAGACTTTGTCCTTGTTTCTCTGACCCTACCTTCTCCAACCCTCTGTCCCTCACTGTGCTGAAAAATATTTATTAAACTATGTCTGATGTTAATAAGACTCAAATCTTATTAACTTGATAATGTCTGATGACTCAGGTATTTAAAAATTTTCTAAGTCACACATTTGAACCCAAGAGGAGATACAGCCTTAAATCTGAAAGTAGGAAGTACTTGCAGTAAGATGGATTTTTTAGCTAATAAGCATTTCTCTGAAATTTTTTGGAAGACTTTGGCCTTATCCCTCCACAAACTTACTTTCTGTTAGTGGCCTTTGGTTGAAATGTCTTTAATTAAAGCAAGAGTCTTGAGACTATCTAAGGCTGGTGTGTCCTATTGCCACCTGGGAGATTACTTCCACAGGTCAGCTCAGTACCCGTGCTGTTTTCTGTCTAGGTTATGTTAACATAGACCGTGATTGGTCACTGATACAGGAGTGTTGGGTTCAGATGCTATGCAACTCCTTAAGGGTGAGTCTAGCAGTGTGGAACATACAAGAGGTGGGTAAGATCGCCAGAGAATAATGCAGGGCACTTGAGCTGGCTAACGTTTCTATAGCTTTGCCTTTACATGCATCTTGTATTTTTTCCTTCCTTAGGACTTCCTGATCATGTTTGTGCATCACTTGGCCACCATTGGGCTCATCACCTTCTCCTACATCAACAACATGGTTCGGATTGGAACCCTGGTCCTGTGTCTCCATGATGTCTCAGACTTCTTGTTGGAAGTAACCCCAGCTCTCTTTCCTAGTCTTTTCTTTTCTCTTTCTCTTCTATTGGAAAACTTTTTCCCAACTCAATTCTTCTTTTGTCCAGGCTGCCAAGTTGGCCAATTATGCTAAGTATCAGCGGCTCTGTGACACCCTTTTTGTGATCTTCGGTGCTGTTTTTATGGTCACTCGTCTAGGAATCTATCCATTCTGGTAAGTGCTAGCCAGGGCTGTGAAGCTGTAGTAGGTATATAGCTAGTAATACCTTTTTCCCAATTCAACTTTTCTGTTTTGTTCTTGCCAGTAGAACCTTAAGAACCCTATTGCCCTGCTTTTTGCTTGGACTAAACTGAACCTTTAAGCACTCTGACAGAACCTTAGCTGCTTTACACAATATTTCTAGTCAAGTGTTATCCAGATTCAGAGTACTCAAGTTGTTTGCTCTGGCTTTCCTTACTCATCTCTTCAAAGCAGTCCTTCTTTTACACTGATTATAGAAATGACGGGCTTTTCTTGTTTGTGTTCTTACTTTCAGGTCCCCCTCCTGACCAGCACATGCACACATCCGTTTTACTTTTGTTTTTTTTGCTTTTTCTTACTTTCAGGTCCCCCTCCTGACCAGCACATGCACACATCCGTTTTACTTTTGTTTTTTTTTGCTTTTGTTTTTGTTGTTTGAGACAGGGTCTCACTATGTAGTTGAGACTGCCCTGGCACTCACTATGAAGCCCAGGCTGGTCTCGAACTTATAGCAATCCTCCTGCCTCAGCCTCCTGAGTGCTGGGATTATAGGAGTCGTCTCATATTTTACTTTAAAATCTGACTTTTTTTTTTTGTACCAGGGATCGAACTCCGGTTCTTGCGCTTGCCTGGCAGGCGGCGGAACTGCTGAGCCAAATCCCTGGCTAAAATTTGACACTTGACTTCTCTCTTCCAGGCTTCTGAATTCAACCCTCTTTGAGAGTTGGGAGATAATTGGGCCTTACCCTTCCTGGTGGTTATTCAATGGCCTTCTCCTGATCCTACAGCTTCTGCACATCATCTGGTCCTACCTAATTGCACGAATTGCTTTCAAAGCCTTGCTCCGGGGAAAGGTGAGGATGAAGAATGGCTTCTTTCTTTGGTCGTGGGGAATGATAAGTACTATTCAGCAGATCTCTCCATCTAGCCTGGTGAGTCCCTGCTACACAAGCAGACCCAGCAAAAAGTCTAGGTCTCCAAAGTTTTTACCTTGACTATGTGTGTTTAGCCTTTTAAAGTATAACTTAGATGCAAAAGGCAGGATCTAGTACTTACTTCTTGTCCTTTAAGAATGGATACTCTTGGGCCAGAAATTTAGGCACCAAGCCTGCCTTGCAAAGTGCAAGGTTCTGAGTTTGATCTCTGGTACTGGAGGGGAAAAAAAAGAATGGCTATTAGCTTTGCGTGCCTGTAATCTCAGCATTCGGAAGGCTGAGGCAGGAGGATCTTTGCAAGTTTGAGGCCAGCACGGGCTATGTAGTGAGTTCAAGGCCAATCTGAGCTACATAGACTAAAGCTGGTTGCAGTGGCCCTTACTTAAAATCCTAGCCCCAAGGGAGACTGAGGCAAATTTGAGCCCCACCTGGGTAACTTAATAAGAACTTGTCTCAAAATGTAAAATGAAAAGTTTTAGGGATGGCCTCAACCATTTTCTGCCCTTACTTGTCTATTATATTTTATATTATTATATTACTTGTCTTATATTTTATTATACTTGTCTATTATATATTTTTTTCTCTTTCTTTACTGGGGATCAAATCCAAGGCCTTGTGCATGCTAGGCAAATGCTCTACCATTAATCTATGCCCCTATCCCCGAAAGATAACATGTAATGATAAACTCATAATGAGTTTTTCAGCTTCTTTTGAAGCCAGGCTTATTAGGTGAGTGGCCCTCAGTAATAAGAACCCCAAGTTGGGTCTCGCTACAGGAAGTGCTGGTTCTAGGGTCTATTCATGATCTTGTGCATCATTGTTCTTTATGGCTATGCTTAGTTTCGGAACTTGCTCAGTGTGTCTGTGCATCTTGCTGTAGCTGCTGGACTTCTCTGTTCTCCCTGCTTTTCTTTCTGACCAGATGACCTACCCACGAAGGATTAGACCCAGACTCTGTACTCTACACTCTTTTCTCACCTTCCTTTTCTCTCTGCCTCGTTGGTGGAAGCTGGACAGTTTCATCTCTCGCATGTAAGTGTTATCTGTGCTTCTAGTGCTTAGGGAAGCACGTCTGTGTAAACTTATTTCTTTTCTTTCCTGCTACCCTTTCTGTTCATCTGCTGACCTTAGAGACCCACTGTTGAAATTACCAGATTCTTTTCCTAAAAAGAGGCAACAGCTGAATCTCTTCCTTCTTCCCTCCTTTCCTTTCTTCTCTCCTCCCCCCTTCTTCCCTTCCTGCCTACCCTGTCTCTCTGTCCTCTATCTCTAATTCTCTCTCTCTCTCTCCTCTATCTCTAATTAGTTTTTGATCCTCTCTTTACCTCACATCTAGAAACACTGTGTCCTCTGGTAGAAATTTCCTAAAGATAAGGTAATTAATTATCTGGATTTAGCGGTCAACAGCTACAATAAACTGTAGAATCACAGAACTAATCCAAAGCACATGTCCATCGCTTTGGCAACAGCAGTGGTAGCTTTGTTCCTTTTCACCTCTTCCTCTACTTTGTTTTAATAGCACACATTTATTGTCCTTCAGTTCCAGAGGTCAGAAATCTGATACAAGTCTCACTAGCTTTCTCCCCTTAACTTTTATGATCCATGCTAGAGAACTTGAAATACTTTGCTTGACATAAGGATTGTTTGCATTGGAAAATACTGTTCTAATCTAAGCTCCTCACTTGAAGATACAAACATTTGAAGAAAACCTCAGGGCAAAAGGTAAAGATTCACAAATGCTAGCATAATTGGTACTAGGATTTTTTTCTTACCAACTGCAAATCCACTGTTGTTTTTATGATACTGTGTATCTGAATATGCTGAAGTTTCACTAAAGAGTAATTCTGCTCTTTGAAAATGAAAGATTAGGAAATGATGTCATAGAATAATGATAGTTGAGCCCAGGACCAGTAGTACTACTTTTAAAAAGCCCATTATGGTCAGCTTTAGGAATAAAGCAAAACTCAAGGTGACCAATGTGCATAAATGCATTGTCCACCACCACCAGGACATGGAAGCCATCAGATGGCAGTCATATGTGCTGGCCTTCCTGTTCTTTGAGATAGGAGGCGAAAGGGGGTCCGTTTTCTTTTGCTGGTTCTGAAAGGTAAGCCCCTCTACCAAAGCAGCTTCTGTTCCATAAAGAACAGAATCAGAGGTGACAGGAAAAAAAACAGAAAGCAGGCAAAAGATATTTGAAAGAGTAATCACAGTCCAGATAACTCTTGGAGTCAGGTGTCACCAAAAGTAGAAAACAAATACGGTCCCTGTGAGCTTAGTCTGTCTTCTGATTCTCTCAAACTTCTGTTCTCACTTTCCTGCCTTTGGTTCCATCTCACCTAGGTGTCTAAGGATGATCGCAGTGATGTGGAGAGCAGCTCAGAGGAAGATGATGAAACCATCAGTACTAAAAGCCTCTCTGGCAACAGCTCCAGCAATGGTGCCAGCTGGGTAAATGGGCACATGGGAGGCAGCTGCTGGGCTGAGAAGTAAAGTGGTTGGCCTGGACACTTCAGCAGACGTGGAATTACAGGGCCACTGACAATCTACTCCTTTTGGGCCTCCCCACATCTACACTCCTGTGACCAGAGGGATTGCAGGGCACCAAGGAGAATCAAAGAAACAAATATTTTCACTTTTTTTTTTTTTTTAACTCTGCCATTTTATATTTAATACCCTTCAGATCCTTTCGGTAATGTTATTTGCTCTGCATGTGTATGTGTGGTGGTGTGTGTGTGTGTGTGTGTGTGTGCACATTTGTGCATATGCACAAGTTTCATTGCCTGGGTTCATTGCCTGGGTTACGGCACAATTCTATACTGGAGCCACGAGGCCTTGCCTGTACCGTTTTGAACCCACTTTAGTCCCAGATTTGGCTGCAACAGCTTGAATTGTGCTGTCTCTGGATCTTTCCTCCCTTGTGGCCCTGGCTCTTGAGACTCAATTCCTGGAGCATTTGAATGAAGCAGCCAGGTTTCTGCATTGTTCCTCTTTTGAAGCAGGGACTATTTAACACAATAAAATTGTATGGAAACAGAGAACCTTGGGTGGATGGCCAGAATTGCTGTGGTCCCCAGCTAGATCCCCTTCCCGCCACATGATAGTGACAGGGACAACTACTGATACCCTGCTCTTTACTCAATGGTACGCAGGGAGGGCGGTGGGAGCAGGAGGGCTGGGGCTGGAGGAGGACAACAGCCACTGGGTGTGCTGTTAACGATTTTATACTATTGTTTACTCTTCTGTGATTAAAATGCTTCAACCCTCTTCTACTTGTCTTAACCTCTTTAGTGACTGCCACTCATTCTGTGAATTCCTCAGCTAATTAAGAATGTTTTGGGTTGGAGATTTAGCTCAGTGGCACTGTACTGTGCCTTGCAAGCGCCAGGTCCTGAGTTCTATTCCTGGTCCAAAAAAGGAATTTTTTTCCAGGTTTGGTGGCAATGCCTGTAATCCCAGTACTCTGGGAGGCAGAGGCAGGGTGATTTAAAGTTGGCAATTTAGCAAGACCTTATCTCAAACCCTCCCCCCCAGTACCAGCGATCAAACTCAAGACCTTGCTTTTGAGGCAGGCATAGTGCCACTGAGTTAAATCTCTGGCCCTAATTTTTTTTTTTTTTAACAGGCTGCACATGTATCTTGATGCAAAGGGTCCTGGGTTTAATCCCTAGCCTCACAAATAATAATAGTAATGTTTTAGATCTGGTTCACAGGCACTGAACATCAAATCTTTCCTTTCTGTGCACTATGGTGTCAACCAGGGTGGCCTACATTATTTTAGAGCTTTATGTTTTAAGAAAAGGTAAGCACATTTAATGGGGTCACAAGAACAGTGCTGAGCAGATAAAAGCATTCATGTAGCAAAACCGATAAAAGGCTTTGGTTGAAAACTAAAACACCTTTAGTTAGGTATCTGCATTTCTCATCTTACTGTAGAGACTACCAATTAATTAACACTTTAAGATTGTGAGCAGATGTTTTCTTCTTTGTGGTTTTTGTCTTTCAGCTCATGGAGAAGGATTCATCCTACTACAGATTTCTCCTGTAGTTAAGGCCTTGGCAAAATTACCAAATGTAGTATTCATCTCCCAGAATAATTTTCCATTTACTGCATTTTTGGATTATAGAAATATTTCTAGCTAGAGGTGGGGGCACACACACCTGTAATCGCAGCACTGAGGAGGTGAAGGTAGGAGAACAGAGTTTGAGGCCAACCTGGGCTACATAGTAAGGCCATGTCTCAAAAAACAAAAACCAAAGAAAATAAAAATGTCGACATGCTTTTGTATACAAATGTAGACATATGGAGAACTTTATGTCATGGAGATGGATTAAAAATGGAAAGAAACTGGTTATTCTAAGGATGAGATACTTTATGTTCATTGACATTATAGGGATACTGACCCTACTAACCTTGCTGAGAGACCAGATTTTTTAAAAGATTTACTGTCAGAGATGCTGGGGATGGAACTCAGTGGTACCCTGCCTGTCTGGGAAGTGCAAGGTCCTGAGTTCAATACTCAGTAGCCAGAGGTTGGGGAAGATTTACTGTTGGCATGGAAAAATTAAATATTAAGTAGTCAGTTGATCAGAACTAATCAGGAATACGAAAAGAAAGGTCTTACATTTAGTTTACCAATTTGCCATATTGTTGAATAGACTGTGAAATATGAGTGAAAATGCTTTTAAAAGCCAAAGTATGTATTTTGCCTTTTTGAAATTTAAAGTTACTTTGTTTACATAGTCTGTTGGCTGGCCCAGTTAACCTGACAAAAGATGAAACCAAGGAATACAATTATTTTGTTGTTGTTGTTTTTTTGAGACAGGGTCTTGCTTTGTAGTACACTCTGAACTTGAACTCACTATATAGCCTAGCCTAGGCTCAAACTCTCAGCAATCTTCTTGCCTCTGACTCCTAAGTGCCTGCCTTAAGTGATATAGTAATTCTTTTTATATAATGATTACATTCGTTGTGGGGAGTTGGTGTGTATTATATATAATTGTTTTTCATTCGATTTCCTTCCCTCTCCATCTCTTGGTCACTTTTCCTTTTGCAAAAGACCTATCTTCCTATTTCTATTATCTTTTTTTATTTATATTATATTTTAGGTTTCTTATGTAAGAGAAACCATGTAACATTTAAGCATCTGTGTCTGATGTATTTATTTCACTAACATTATGGTCTCAAGGTGTATTCATTTTCCAACAGGTTACTCAAGTTTATCCTTCTCTATGGCACGTAGTACTGCATTGTGTTTAAATGGCACATTTTCTTTATCCATTCATTTGTTGATGGACTTCCAAGGTTTAGTTATTACAAGTTGCGCTGCTGTAAACATAGGTATGTATGTACTATATTACTATAATACAATGTCTTTAAATCCTTCAGGAAGACACCTAGAAGGGGAATAGCTGGGTCAGATGGAATTTCTAGTTTTAGTTTTTTGAGGAACCTCCATACTGATTTCCATAGTGGTTGTATTAGTTTACATTCCCACTAACAATGTGGAAGAGTTCCTTTTCCCCAGCATTTATTTGACTTCTTGATGCCAGCATTCTTTCTGGAATAGGGTGGAATCTCAGTGGGTTTTTTGGTTGTTTGGTTTTGGTTTTTTGAGACGGTCTCACTACATGGTCCAGGATGGTCTTGAACTCAACTATGTAGCCCAGGTTAGCCTCAAATGTGTAGCAATCCTCTTGTCTTAGCCTTCCGAGGACTGGGCTTACAGTTGTTGTTTTCAATTGTACTTCTCTAATGGCCAGAGGTGGTGAACATTTTTTCGTGTGTTTATTGGTCATTTCTACTACTTCTTCTGAGGAGTGTCTATTCATTTCAGTTGCCCATTTTTTGACTGAGTCTTTTATTTTGGGGGGACTAAGCTTTTTTGAGATAGATATAGATATAGATATAGATATATCTATATATAGATTCATTCTAAATATTATTTCTCTGAGGAATAGCTGGCAGATTTGAGGGGGGTGGCTGAGACAAGTCCTTGCTATGTACTCAGGCTGGCCTTGAATTCACTATATAGCCCAAGATGGCTTCAAACTCACAGCAATCCTCCTGCCACAGCCTCCCAAGCTGGGATTATAGGTGTGTGCCACCATGCCAGGCAAAAACATTTTTAAAGGATTTTTGGGGGGGCGGGGGAACCAGGGATCAAACTCAGGACCTTGTGCTTGCAAGGCAGGCAACATACCACTGAGCTAAATCCCTGGCCCAGGAATGTAATAATTTTTAAAGTAGCCAACACATCGTTCTTATTATAGTCAGGCATTATATCAAATACATGTAATAAAGATGAGGCAAAACAGCTAATAAGGAGTCAAACCTATTGTCTCTGTTCTGTCACTTCCCAAAATTTCATAAGAGGAAAAAGAGCTGTGGAAGAAACATTTAGCCATATGCACAGACTGATCGTAGTTTGCCTTGAATAGAGAATTGAGATGAGGATCAGTTGCAGGAATAGGATCTTGTTCTACGGAGGAACTGTGTGCATACAGCTGGAGTGGGGGTGGGAGCTAACGTGCTAAGGTTTTGAATACAGCGCTAGAAGGTAAAAGTGTGACGGGTACAGCAAGACTGTCCTAACGCCAGTGTTGTATGTGGCCTGGAAAGGCTTCACACCTGAGGAAGGACCTGAATTCATAGTGGTAAGTTAGACTCACATTTTCTCTACTAGAGAACTAGGAATATCTGTGAGAAAGAAGACATTACCTCTGTTGAACATAAAAGGGTTTTATTATTTATTGAAAAATAGGAGCCGGGCATGGTGGTGCACACCTATAGTCCTAGCACTCAGGAGGCTGAAGCAGGAGTTCGAGGCCAGCCTGGGCTACATAGTGAATTCAGGGCCAGCCTGAACCTATAAAGGGAGACCCTGCCTCAAAAAAACAAAAAAAGGGCCAGAGATTTAGCTTAGTGGTTCTGCTCCCTGCCTCACAAGCGCAAGGACCCAAGTTTGATCCCCAGTACCAAAAAAAAAAAAAAAAAGCAAGGGCCCGAGTTCGATCTCCAGTACAAAAATAAAAAAAAAATTTAAAAAGTTGTTTGTATAGTATAGTGCTTTTCTCCTTAAAAAATGACTTTATATCCACAATAAGTGCACTTAAACCTTACATAAAAATAGAAATTGTTGGGCCGGGGATTTAGCTCAGTGGTGCCACTGCCTGCCTCACAAGCTGAAGGTCCCCAAGTTCGATCCCTGGTAGCAAAACCCCACAATTTATTAATTTTGTTCATGGTTAGTCAGTTGAACTCAGTTGGAGGTATCTCATGTAACTAGTCAACTGGGAATGGAGCAACTGGGAAACTGCCAATGAAGTCACTTAAAGACTCCACTGGGCTGGATGTCCACACACATAATTTATACGTGGGCTTTTTTTTTTTTTTTTTTAATTGTAGTGCTAGGTCTCTACCACTGAGCTATGCCCCTAGTCTGACTTCTATATTTTAGTGATCAAAATAGTTACAAGGACTGCCTGATTTAAAGAGATGAAAGAGTGCCACAGTCATTGAAAATCATAGAAAGTAGGAGATACTGTTGCGGCCATCTTTGAAAAATTAACTCTGCCTCAACAAGAAAACCAAGTCTCAGAAGTTGTTTAAAAAACATCTTTTGGCACAGTGGTGCATGCCTATAATTCCAGCTAAATAGGAGGCCACAGAAGGAAAATCACAAGTTTAAGGCTGACCTGGGAAATTTAAGTGAGAACTTATTTCAAAATTTAAAAAGTGCTGGGTCAGGGATTTAGCTCAGTGGTGCTGCCACCTGTCTCGTAAGTGCAAGGACCCAAGTTCAATCCCTGGTACCAAAAAAAAGTGCTAGAAATATAGCTCAGTGCTAGGAGTGTCCTTGCGTATCAGAAATTTTAACGTAAATCAGATTATCCGTCATATGTACCTTTCACATTACCCTAATTCTGAAATAATCATAAATAAGTGGATGACTGTATTTTTAATTTAAACTAAGTTCATGCGGGGAGAAATATTTTCTGTTCAATAATAAGTGCCTGCTTTATGATAGGCACTGTGATAAGAACAAAGGACATAGAAATGAATAAGATCTGATTTCTGTGCTTAAAGGAATCATAATCTAGTAAAAAAAGATATATATCTTGATTAGAATATTTTAAATTGAAAACTGGGCGTGGTGGCGCACGCCTGTAATCCCAGCACTCGGGAGGCTGAGGCAGGAGGATCACTGTGTGTTCGAGACCAGCCTGGGCTACATAGTGAGTTCCAGGTCAGTCTCAACTACTTAGTGAGACCCTGTCTCAAAAAACCAAAAAAAAAAAAAAAATTTTTTTTTTTAAATTGTTCTTAGTAAAGTGGAAGAAAACTTGAAAGTAGAAATGCGCCACATTAAAGATAAGTAGTTTGGCCCAGGCAGACAAGGAACAGATATTATCTGTAGAGGTATGAGATTAGATGAAAGATATTAGTTCTGGCTTTAATGCAGACTAAAACTGAGACAATCCATAAGTGGTTTTATTTTGTTCTTTAATGCATAGCTGCGCTTCCAAGAAAGAAATGTGAAGAAACTGAAAGCTAGAATAAATGGCAACACAGCCAGTGCAATTCCGAGAGCATACGGAAAAGTACTGAAGGGCCTGGGTTAAAATACTGACAAGAGACAAAACTAACTCTATGGAAGTAGTGGACTGAGACTTTCACTTAAATCTGGGACCCTACAAGAACAACTTTAGTGTAAGAAGGTAAATTGTCAAAAATTCCCACTTGACAAAAGCAGTAAGCGAAGGAGTTTGAGTGCTGGGCTATACTGCATATGAATTTGAGAACCTAAATCTGTGCTTCCTGTGTGGTCCAGGAACTGTCACTATGCCTTACCCATTCCCAGTAAGAAATTGGTCTTTGATCAGTTGTCCATGGGATATCTCTGCTGAGATATGCGTATGATTGCAAATAACATAAAACTCTTACTTCTTCTCCCCACCAAAAGCTCCTAAAGCTTATTTCAGTCAAACTGGAAACAAACTAACAGAATACAGGGATCAAAAATGTATAAGGAACTGCCTACTAATTTGGAAAACTGGGTGTGGTGGTATACACCTGTAACCCCAGCACTTGGGAGGCTGAGGCAAGAGGATTGCTAGTTTAATGCCAGCCTTAACTACACATTTAGACCCTGCTACTTGAATGTGCTGCCTTTTCTTTCATGTTGTCTTCATATTTCTGTAAGACGTACAGGTACATTCTCTGTGCAGTAACAGAGTTTGGAATCTACCCTCAGACTAATATTGTACCCAGTGGATTTAAGAAGCAGAACTGCTTTTTTCTTTTTTGGTTTGTGGCAGGGGTGGGTACTGGGGAGCAAACTTGGGTCCTTTCGCTTACAAGGCAGGTGGCGTGGAACCACCGAGCTAAATCCCTGGCCCAGAACCATTTTACTGTATACAAGGACTGATTGGAAAATATAGTCAGTGTTAGAATTTTAAGGAACTTACATTCGCCACATATTTCAATCAAACCTTTATGCCAACCTTTGCTTTTACGAACTAACCCTCTTTTATTTCATGCAATTATATTAATGCTGCCAAACAAGGGCCTCTGACTTTCCACACACAGACTCACAAGTATCACCACACTGCCCAGAGTTCCTCATTCCCTAGACACAGCAATTAGGCCAGAAATGGTCTGCACCAAGACCGCCTCACAGTTTTCTCGGGGACTCTGTAAGTGGTAAAGCACCTGCTTAACATGCACAGGCCCTGGATTTAATCCTCAGCACCAAAATACAAATAAATAAATGCTGGAGCAGTCTTATCCAAGATCATGAAGGCTGATACTAGCACTGCTAAAGCTACAGAGCCTGCCACAAAAATGTGTATACACTTCTGAAAAAAAAAAAAATCAGTGTCTAGAAGCTAAAGGCCACCACTTCGATTGCCTCTTATAACTGTAGAGGCCAAAGGTAACTTGTATTAATCTCTTGATGTCTCAATAAATTTAGTATTAAAATATTTATATAAGTTTTTCTTTTCCTGAAGTATGTATATGTTTTTTTGGCAGACTATAGCCTTCGATATTCATGGGTATAAGAGCCAAGATACAGCAATAACATCCATGATTCAAAAGCTAGCTCCATTTCTATGGTCCATATATTATTTGAGAAAACAAAAACACCAAGATATACACATGGCAAAATATTTAATGTCTGTAGGCGTACCTCACCCTCACATTCCCATTATGGTTTGACAGGCTCCACAAACTGTCACACTAGTGAAACTGGCAGGACCATAGGAACCCTGGGCACTTCCTTACAGCAGGGTTTGAAAACCATCAAGTCCCCTTGATCTGCAAACGGTGGCAGGTGTGGTCTTTCCACAGCATGCTCAGGAGAAAACGCCCTCCATCCTACAGGTCTCCTGGGGTCTTCTGTTCTTCTGCAGCCTGGCGCCGGGCGCTGCGCAGCTGCAGATAGTGGTAGGCTCGGACGCTGCAGAGGTAGCCCCCATATACAGTGAGGAGCATCATGGAGACAGAGAAGGTCTTGTAGCCGATGTCGGCTAGCTGCTTAGCAGTTGGCATGTTGTTCCCTACAAAGATAGATTGCAGTTTGATCCAGAAGAAGGACTCATTTCCCGGCCCAGCCCTCGTTTAGGAACATTCTATAACCTGCATCCTGCTTAGTCTGTCTGCACTCTGTACTGAATGGCCCAACACACAGCAAGCAGTCTTGGAAGGATACTATATGACATACTCTGGGAACTCTGACTCAAAAGGGCACAAGAGACGAGGCAAGAAGCATACATCTGAATGCATGCACACTGACACCTGGCTCTCCACCTTTGTGGAGAGAAGACTGGCCCACCCTGAACTGATCTTAACTGGCATATTACTTGAAACGTAGCAATTTTTCTGGCTTATAGGAAATCAACAGAGGTAGCTAGGGTTTAACATTAACAAAGAATTATTCTCTAGATCAAATGAGAATCTTTTAGGCAGTATCCAATTTGTTTTCCCATAAAAATAATCTTGTTCGTAGTGGTTAGCCTTAAAGCATGTTTAAGCCATAATATACCTGAAATAGTGCCAATGGTACTTTTATATTATTTCAATTATACTTAACCTTCTATAACATTAAATTCTAAACTGAACATTAAGAACCTGTCCCAAGGGCTAAAAACAATCTTCCTAGGTCCTGTTCCTGTTAAGTTTTAAATCCTATTTGCATGAGCTATAGTACTTAGAACTTCACTCTTCCCTGGCTATTGTAAGCTGGGAAACAAGGGAAAGGTTAGTATATGAATTCCTTATCAAGAACAAAATGTTCCTCAATTGGGACTAGATCTTTGGCTCCCCTCAGTTGAGAGAAATGAAATTAAGACTGAATAAAGCCCGATGTGGCAGCACACACCTGTAATCTCAGTACTCAAGAGCGTAAGGACTGCAAGTTCAAGGCTGGCCTGGACATCTGCTTAGGCGTAGCACACCTAATTACTTTAACTTGGGCTAGAGGTGGTAGCTTGTTTTTAGTACCAGCTACGTGGGAGGCTGAGGCAGGAGACAATAGCTTGAGACTAAGAGTTCAGGGCCAGCCTGAGCAACATAGCTACAACCTGTCTCAAAAAAGTGAAAGATCTGGAAGCAGATGACATCAAGATCAGCTGGTCTAGGCAAATGAAAGTGGCGTAGGAGACAGGTAAGTGCTGCTCAGTGAGCGCTAAGGGCCTTGATGATAGACCCTAAGATGAGTCAAGACACAGCTTCTACGAATTCCAGTTCTGCTAAAGAAACTGACATTACCTAACTTCAGAGAAAGAAAACTGAACAAAGAAGGCTCAAGATGAGAAAGGGTCTGTTCAGGTTTTCCAAGGGTTGTAATAACCCTAAAGCAGTGGTGGCAAACCTATGGTGCAAGTGCTGAAGCGGGCTGTTTGTTATCATTGAAAGCTTCAAAAGTTTCGCCTTCACTGTCCTAAGCTATGCACAGTGAGGGACACAGGGCAAGACACTAAAGTTGTAAACAAGCACCCCACAGACACTGACTTTGCTTACTCTCCTGCTGTTCCCACACCATGGCCAGAAACCAGTTACAGGACTCCCTCTGTAAGGGGCTGGAGAAAAAGCCAACCAAGGAATAGGATGCTCCAGCTGGGCTGGAAGAGTGACACTAGACCAACAGACATAGTCCTGGTGTCCTATTCTCAAATTGGCAAAAACTCTTCACTGAGCTAAGACAGGGACAGCAGAAATGGGAAGTGATGGAAATACAAGTTATTTTGGGAGCACGGGATTGTCAACTGAACGGATTAGAACAAAGCTGGAAGTACCTCCCAAGTTAAACTTGGGTATTAGAATGCTGTTCACAGAAATAAACAAGTATGTGTCACTGTGTACCGAGGGTGTGACAGTCAAGATCCTGGGGCCCAGGTTGGGTGTGGTGCACACCTATAATCCCAGTGCTCAAGAGGACAGCCTGGGATACACAGTGAGTTCAAGGCCAGCCTGAATTACAGTGAGGCCCTTTCTCAAAACAGAAAAAGACCATAGGGCTCAGAGTGGGTCTCAGTGGAAAAGCACTTGCCAGACATGTGTAATGCCTGGGGTTCAATCCCTAGCACCAAAAACAGGTTGGACATACTAAAATTAACAACACATTCATGTGTGATGTCTTATCAGGCAGAAGAGAAGGAAATGAAATTCTGGACAGATCTTGAGAGAAGCGTTTCAAATACAGATGTAACAGGTGGCACTAAAGCAGAGAAAACTGACAAGTTGGCATGGTGGTGAACACCTGTAATCCCAGCACTCAGGAGACTGCGGCAGGAGGATGGCTCCGTTTGAGGCCAGCCTGGGCTACACAGTGACACCCTGTCTCAAAATGAAACCAAGAGACGGAAGCCAAGGCAACAACAACTGGAAGATGAAAACAGGAAAAAGGCAAGGAAATTTTAGAAATATAGGGGGTGATGGTTCATTTAGCTACACTTTCCTTCCTGGCTAAAAATCACCTCTGTATCAAATCACTGCCACTGACAAATGTGCTGTATCCTTCCAGTGTGTTTGGCCAGACAAAAACGGAACCATACTGCAGAGTGCCATGAAGTCTGGTCAGATGGGAGCACTGAGGGGAAGGGTGACCAGGTCACTAGTAAGCCTAGGGTAGATGTCAGTTTAATGCAATGAACTGGGACAGGCAGGACAGACATTAAGTAGATAGCACAGATCTTCAGCCAGGGCTTCAGCAAGTCTATAAATCGCAGTCTGGTATGTGCTTAGCACTTTTCCAGAACAAGGAAAAACATTAGAGGATCATAACCTTCCCCCCACCACCAAGATGAGAGAACAGATGTTTTGGTTAAGGGAATGAAAGTGATAAAGCAGAGTTTGACAAAGTAAGAAACAAGATCAAGAAAAATCTAGTTTTGTTTTGCATATTGATTAGGAAGGTGTGAATATCTTTTTTTGTTTTTGTCTTTTGAGACAGTTGGGGTGTACCCCAGGCTGGCCTTGAACTCGTAGTGACCCTCCTGTCTCAGCCTCCTGAGTGCTGGCATTACAAGTGTGCACCACCAGGCCCTGCGTGAATCTCTTTTAAAAGGGAGGAAAGTGGTGGCTAAATTGAAGATAAAAGAGACCCAGGCTGAGGACAGTCTAGGAGAAAATGAAATTAGCAGTCAGGGCAGAATGTTTAATCTTAGAAATGAAGGGAACTTTTGAGACTGGAGGGACGTTATCATTTTAAGGAACATTCATTTTCTCAATAAAACAAAGCTGGAGCCGGGCATCCTGGCTCATGCGTGTAATTCCAGCACTCTGAGCGGCTAAGGCAGGAGGACTGCAAGGTTGAGTCCAGCCTAGAAACAGCCACTGTCTTTAAAAAACAAAACAAACCTGGGGACTGCTCAGTGTGAGAGCCCTGAAGGTTCAACCTTCAGGCCAGAGGGGTGTGAGGAACAAATCTGGGTTTCTATTACGAAGTGATGGTATTGCAGGTTTTGGAAAAATCCCTTAGAATCATAATGAAAAATACCATAAGGGTACAATCTGTAAAGGTTATGTGTTACGTGGCTGTAATCTTTTGGCCCTCTACAAGTGGGAGGACCTCAAGACTCAGCTTGCTTTTGCAAACTCATTCCTCCAAAAGGGTCTGTTACATCAACCTAGACTGACTAGTTCGTCTCTGATTTCGCACCTGGAGCACATAAAGCTAGGAGGGCGCAATAACGGACACGGCTTCTGTCTAAAGGAGCTAACGGTGCTATGCTACGAGTCCTATTGTTAGACAAGGTCAAAGACGGTGGGTGAGTTCAAAAGCAGAGGGAGCTTTTTGGAACGGCGGGAAGATTTTACAGCAGCGGAAGAGACGAGGGGGACACCCGGCCGCGGCGGCTTTTGGAGTCGCAGTGCGAGGGCCTAGAAGCCAGGCCGGTGAGGCTGG